AAATGTTCTGTGAAGTAAAGCAAACACAGGCAACAAAGATCACTTTGATACAGAACTACAGAAGCAAATATAGGAAGCTAAAGTTTACTAAATAAAAAAAAATGGAGATTCTGAAAACAAACAAACAAACAGAAAACTTACTTTTTTTTTTTTTTTGATGCTGGGGATTTAACCCAGGGTCTTGTGCATGTGAGGCAAGCGCTCTACAAACTGAGCTATATCCCCAGCCCAGAAAACTTGAAATTAAGGAAACAATAAACCAAATTAAAAACTCAATAGAGAGCATTACCAACAGACTAGATCAGTTGGAAGACAGAACATCAGACAATGAGGACAAAATATACAATCTTGAAAATAAACTTGACCACACAGTGAAGATGGTAAAAAGCCATGAACAGAACATCCAAGAACTATGGGATAACATGGAAAAACCAAATTTAAAAATTATTGGGATAGAGAAAGGTGTAGAGCTACAAACCAAAGGAATGAACAATCTAGTCAATGAAATAATATCAGAAAAATTTCCAAACCTGAAGAATGAATTGGAACATCAAATGCAAGAGGCTTACAGGACTCCAAATGTACAAAATCACAACAGATCCACACCAAGGAATATTATAATGAAAATACCTAGCATACAGAATAAGGAGAGAATTTTAAAATCCACAAGAGAAAGAAATCAGATTACATATAGGAGGCAACCAATTAGGATCTCTGTAGATAATCTCAACCCAGGCCCGCAAAGCTAGGCGGTCCTGGAAAAACAGACCAAGCTCTGAAAGAAAATGGATGCCAACCAAGAATCTTATATCCAGAAATATTAAGCTTTAGATTTGATCATGAAATAAAAGCCTTCCATGATGAACAAAAGTTAAAAGAATTTAGAAGTAGAAGGCCTGCATTAGAGAACATGTTTAGCAAAATATTCCATGAGGTGGAAATGAAAAACAACAATGAAAGTCAACAAAGGGGGGAATTACATTAAAGGAAAAGCCAATAAAAGGAGAAACCAAGATCAGTTCAAAACCAAAAGTTAACCAAAATGACCAGGAATACAAACCATGTCTCAAAAACAACCTTCTGTATATGGGGTAAAAATGGGAGTTCATAACCCACTTGAATCAAAGTGTGAAATATGATATATCAAGAACTATGTAATGTTTTGAACAACCAATAAAAAAAAGAAAAAAAAACAACCTTCAATATTAATGGCCTAAACTCATCAATCAAAAGACATAGACTGGCAGATTGGATTCAGAAAAAGACAATAATATGCTTCCTTCAAGAGACTCATAGGAATATACATACACAGACTGTAGGTGAATTGTTGGGAAAAAACATAATTCACATGGACTGCATAAATAAGCAGGGGTTTTTATCCTTATATCATAAAAAGTAGACTTCAGGCCAAAGTAAGTCAGAAGGGATAAAGAAGGATATTTCATACTGTTTAAGGGTTAACAAGACATAACAATTATAAGTACATATGCCCCAAACAATGGAGCCTCTATGTTTGTCAAACAAACCCTGCTCAATTTCAAGAATCAAATAGACAAAAAACATAATAATAGTGAGTGACTTTAAGACACCTCTTTCAACACTGGATAGATCTTACAAAGAAGAGCTAAACAAAGAAACTATAGAACTCAATAATATAATCAATAATCTAGACTTAACAGACATATATAGAATATTTCATCTATCAATGAGTGAATACACTTTCTTCTCAGCAGCACATGGATCTTTCTCTAAAATAGATCATATATTATTCCACAAAGAAAATACAAAAAAGTAAAGATACTACCTTATATTCTATCAGATCATAATGGAATGAAATTATAAATCAATGATTAAAATAAAAAAATAGAAGCTACTTCAATACCTGCAGACGAAATAATATACTATTGAATGATCAATGCAGTAGAAGACATTAGAGAGGAGATTAAATAATTCTTAGAGGTAAATGAGAACACTGATACAACATATCAAAATCTCTGGAACACTATGAAGGCAGTACTAAGAGGAAAGTTCATTGTACAGAATTCATTTTGTAAAAGAAGAAAAACTCAACAAATAAATGACCTAACGTTACAACTCCAAACCTTAGAAAAAGAAGAACAAAATAATACCCAAAGTAGAGACAAGATATAATTAAAATCAGAGTTAAAAATAATGATATTGAAACAAAAGAAACAATTAAAAAAATTAACAAAAAGTTGGTTCTTTGAAAAAAATTATAATTGATAAAGTCTTAGCCATGATAATGAAGAGAAGGAGAGAGAAAACTAAAATTACTAAAATCCATGATGAAAAAGGAAATATCATGACAGACACTACAGAAATACAGAAAATAATTAGAAACTATTTTGAAAATTTGTACTCTAATAATATAGAAAATATTGAAGACTTCAACAAATTTCTAGAATAATATGTTTTACCCCAACTGAATCAACTACAACTAATAAATAAATATTAAAAAAAGAGAGAGAGAGAGCCTACAGAATGGGGGCAAATTTTTTACCACATGCCCATCAGCTAGAGCGCTAATCTCCAGGATATATAAATAACTCAAAAAACTTAATACCAAAAACCAAATAGCCTAATCAATACATGGGCTAAGGAACTGAACAGACACTTCTCTGAAGAAGATATACAATCAATCAATAAACATATGAAAAATGCTGTACATCTGTAGTCATTAGAGAAATGCCAATCAAAACTACTCTAAGGGGACTGGAGTTGTGGCTCAAGTGGTAGAGTGCTCGCTTAGCACCTGTGAGGCACTGGGTTTGATCCTCAGCACCACATAAAAATAAAATAAAGATATGTATTCACCTAAAACTAAAAAATAAATATAAAAAAAAAACTACTCTAAGATTTCATCTCCCTCCAGTAGATTGGCAATTATCAAGAATACAAGCAATAGTAAGTGTTGAAGAGTATTTGGGGGAGAAAGTACACTCTTACACTTCTGGTAGAATTGCAAATTCATGCAGCCAATCTGGAAATCTTTATGGAGATTTCTTAGAAAACTTGGAATGGATCCACCATTGGACCCAGATTTCCTACTCCTAGTTCTATCCCCAAAGGGCTTAAAAATAGCATACTACAGTAATGCAGACACATCAATGTTTATAGCAGGACAATTCACAATAGCTAAACTGTGGAACTAATTTAGATGCCCTTCAATAGAGAATGCATAAACTGTGGTATATATACACAATAGAATATTACTCTGCATTATAACAGAATAAAATAATAGCATTTGCAGGTAAATGAATGGGATTGGATGGAGAATATCATACTAAGCAAAGTAAGCCAATCCCCAAAAACCAATCCCAAAAAACCACCATCCTCATTATGGGTCAGTGGATACTGACCCATAATGGGGATGGTGGGGAGCATGGGATGAATGGAGGAATTTTGGATTGGACAAAGGGGAGGGAGGGGCATGCATGTAGGAAAGTTGTTGGAATGAGATGGGAATATTTACCCTATGTACAGGTAAGATTGTGTGAATGGTGTACTTTGTGTACAACCAGAGAAATGAAAAATTGTGCTCCATTTGTGTACTATGTATAGAAGTGCATTCTGTTATCATGTATAACTAATTAGAACAATAATTGAAAATAAATGAAAAAAAAACCCATCCAACTGGAGCTGGGCATGATGGTACCTGCTTGCAGTCCCAGTGACTTGGGAGGCTAAGGCAGGAGGATCATGAGTTCAAAGCCAGCCTCAGCAACTTAGTGAGGCCCTAAGGAACTCAGTGAGACCTATCTCTATTAAAACATAAAAAAGGCCTGTGGATGTGGGTCATTGGTTAAATCATCCTGGGTTCAATCCCTGGTACCCCAGAAAACCCCAAAAGACAAAAAAAAAAACCCAGTGAATAAATGGGCAAATAAAGTAAACAGATACTTCTCAAAGGAAGAAATACAAATATACAACAAATATATGCAAAAATGTTCAATATCTTTAGCCATCAGAGAGATGCAAATTGAAACTGCACTCAGATTTCATCTCATTACAGGTAGAATGGCAGCCATGAATTATCCAAACAGCAGTAAATTCTGTATACAGTGTGAGGAAAAGAAAAACTTTTATAATGTTGGTGGGATTGTAAAACTAGTAAAAGACTAGGAATGGAACCACCATATGACCACTTCTTGATATTTATCCTAAAGCAACACAAATACTCATGTTTACAGTAGAACAGTTCACAATAGCCAAATTGTGGAATCAACCTAGATGTCCATCAACAGATAAAGTGAGGGCTGGGGCTGTAGGTCAGTGGTAGAGCACTTGCTTTGCATGTGTGAGACACTGGGTTTGATCCTCAGTACCACATAAAAATAAATAAACAAAATAAAGGTATTGTGCTAACCTGCAACTAAAAATTATATATATTAAAAAAGCACCAATTTAAAAAACAGATGAAGTGATAATGAAAATGTGCTATGTATACACAATGGAGTTTTATTCAGTCATAAATAAGAATATGTCAGGAAAATGGATGAAAATGGATGAAATATGAGTTTTATTTTAAGCAAAATAAGCCAAACTCAGAAAGTCAAGGGTCATATGTTTCTCTCATATGTGGAACCTAGAGAAAAAAAAGCTCATGAAAATGGCTCTCATGAAAATGGAAGGGACACTAGTAGAGAAAAGGAACCAGGGGAGGAAAAAGGGGATGGAAATGGAAAATGCTGGGTGTTAAGGTTTAGATATGAGGTGTTCCCCCAAAAGCTCATGTGTAAGAAAATGCAAGAAAGTTTAGATGTGAGATGATTGGGTTATAAGAGCCTTAACTGATGTGGATTATCTGGGCAGTAAGTATAGGTAGGTAGGGAATGGCTGTAGGAAATAGGTCATTGGCAGGTGTGACTTTATATATATTTTGTCCCTGGTGAGGAGAGCCTTGTCTACTTCCTGGTTGCCATGTCTGAGCTGCTTTCATCATCCTCACCCTTCTTCAACGATGTTATTCTTCACCTCAGGCTCAAGGCAATGGAGTCGACTGTCTATGGACTGAGACTGCTGAACCCGTGAGTGTATAATATACTTTTCTTCCTCTAAATTTTTTTTTGTCAGGTCTTTTGGTCACAGTGGTGAAAAAGTTGACTAAAACACTGTGGAAAACATTGACCAAATTGTTGTATATGTGCTTATATGTGGGGACAAGTGCATGGAGTACTGCGTACATGGCATACATTAAGGGCATCTGAATGGCAGGCCACTCCCCTCATGCTAGGCGTGTGTGTGGCAGACCCCTTACCCCATAGGCACAGCCCTGGGCATGAGGTCATGTGTTGCAGTCCCGGTTCTTGTTCCACGGCCCACTCCTCGATTGGTTGCTGCAAGGACAGTTAGCAAGAAATTGTATTGGTGGCTGCCTGTAATCTGCCTAGCTACTGCCTGAGTATATATACATGGTAACTGTGCAATAAAATCAGACCTACTTCCTGCTTGGTCTCCAGAGGTCTTGATTAGTGACTCCACAGCCACACTCTCCTCTACCCTGTACTGTGGAACTCTTCATTGGACAAGAGAGAGCCCATGCACTTTTATAATAACCAATCCCACTATTATGTATAAATACAATGCATCAATAAACATATGGAAAACAAAAGAAAGGTAAGGTTGAAGTTTATCTAATAGTCAATAATAGTAATATCTAATGTATATTTTCTATGAACATGTAGAAAAGACTAAATAGCCAATTCAAAACATGGGTTTTGAATAATTATGGGAGTTAAACAACTGTAATTGAGAATGCTTAATCTATTTGTAATGTTATAATAAATTAAAAGTGTAATGGATGTCAGCATTTGATCTATAATTAAAAGAAAATTTTATATAGAATGTGTGAAAGTTGCCACAGTTTGGGCTATCAGTATATAAATGTAAAAATGGGTGAAAGAAAGAGAAACATCTCAAAAGAAAAGCATAAAAAAGTTGCACAATTGGAAAAGTGAAAGCCAAACAAAACAGAATAATAAGTTCAAATTCAGTAATAATTAGAAAATGTAAGTTAAAATAATGAATACTCATTCTATACCCATTATTTTGGCACAAACAAAAAAATGTAAAAAATTGAAGATTGACTAGGACATGGGGAACATGAAATACATATAATCTGATTATATTATACCATGATTTGGTATACTCAACACAACAACTTAGTATTTAGAAAACTTGAAGAAGTTACACTAACAACTCAGCATTTGTCATTCTGGGGTGTACTCTACATAAACTCAGGTAAGAGTACACAACAATATTAATTTCAGCATTGTTTATAAGAACAAACCAAAATGATCAACAACAGAATGGAAGTTTGAATTTATTTTTCTATGATTTAAAAATGTGTACTCTCCAACAGTCTTTGAATGTAACAAGGAATGTTAGAGACAAGCAGAGGAAATTAAAAAAAAACAACAACAACAAAATATTGAATGACAAAAGCAAGCTGCAGAAAATAATTCAATATGATAACATATGCATTTTAAATTTAGACAAGTTGGATTATGATCCATTTCAGAGTTCTATTTTAGGCTTGCTGGCAAAGTGATCACCAAGAAATAAACATTTTCTTGAATATCCTTAAAAATTGATTTAACTAGTTAGAGAAAGATATTTTAGATATGACAAGTACAGGATTGCTTAGTTTCACAAAGCACAGTGTTGTCACACTCTCATCAGTTGTGTAGTGTATACTTGGGTAATAAAAACCTAGAACCATCTCAGAAATCTCAGGTGTGGGTCATTAAAGAGATTTTATATATAATATATATATATTATATATATATAATATATATCTTTCATAAGATGCATTTAAAAATTATTGAGTGATAAAACACACAGCATGTATGTGTGTGTGTGTATGTGTCTAAAATTAACTTACTATGCATCCTAAGAATCTTAGCATTGAAAGGGGGGGAATGTTGTAGGGACAAAGGAGGCAAGGCACCGAAGATAGCAGGAAACAGTTTTATTTGGCTGCAGCCTGGTTCAGAGGGCACAGATTTTGCTGTAATCAATCAATCCCCTGAACCCTGAGTTCAGGGAGTTTCAGAGTTTTATACCCTGCATGTAAGAGGAGGGGCTCAGAAGTTCACATAAAAGCAGTTTTTTCTTCCACTGTTCTGGGCAAGTTAACCCTTCAAGGACAACACCTGAGAAGGGGAGAGCTTCTTCTTCCCTTTCTTTCCTCCCCCTGTCAGCTGTTACCATGGAGCCCAGTTGGTAACTTCTCTTATCTTAGAAATGTAGACATCTCTGTGAAGCCCAGCTCAAGGCCAGAGGCTTTGTTTGCACATTTCTACAAACTTCTATACTGGATATGTTTGTGAAAAACTAGTAAGGGGGTGTCCAGCACCTGGAGTACTAGTATCTTTTCGGCCAGTGGCCAAGTAAAACAGGGCAACACGAAAATAGGAAGTTTATCTACATTGAACTCTTTTGCAGAGATTCTTTTGCTGACAGTCCTAAAATCAGCCATGGAGAAGAATTCTGGAGAAGCCCAGTTATGTCTTTTCTGTGGAGAAAGGGGGTGCCACTTCAGGAAAAGAACAGGATCTGTGCTGGAGTATAAAACAGACAGATATTTTTGGTAATATACTATTTCCATTTTAAGAGTTCAAATAAAAATAAATGTTAATTCTCAATGGAGAATATTTAGTACTTCTAATATTGCTATATATACTCTACTTATTTTCAAATTACCCACTAAAATTATTTTACAAAGAATTTTTTTAAAAAACTTAATTTGCATGAATGGTGCAAGCTTTCTAAGAGCATAGGAATAAAAGGAAAGAAAAAAAGAGTGCTATTTTGCTGAGAGCTCTGGGGAATGGGAAGCAAAGGAAGTTGATTTTTTTTTCAAGTCAATTTTTTGAATTTTGCACATTTCTCACATTGTGCATGCAATTCTGCAATCAGGGAAAAAGGAAAAAGTATCCGTATGAAATCAAGCCCAGGAATGAGCAGTCAGTTAAATTTACAGATTAGGTCAAAATGGCAGACAGCATTGAACACCAATTTCTCTCATATTCCTAATCCCCTCAAATGATAGGAAAGGCAGGTTTTGGTATTTAAGTAACTCTGTAAGGGCATGGAAGCAGCAAATTCCTGGAAGAAGAAAAGCAGATGGGGTAGAGGCCCTGAGTGGGTGGAGTTGGAAGTGGGGGTGGGGAGCCTGGGAGTCCCTAACTGGAGGAGGAGACACCAGACAGTGGGGGCGGGGTGGTTCTAGGCCCTGAGTTTACTGATTTGGAGAAGGGGCGGGGCCTAGCGCCCAGCTGCACGACCTCCCCTCCCAACTCCCTCCCGCAGGCCAGTGGCTGGGGGTGGGGGTCGGGGAGGGGATTGTCGGGCTGTGTTTGGCAGGAAGGGGAGGCCTCTCTTCTGGCAGGAAGCTGCGCTAAGAAAAGAGGGAGGAGACTGCAGCGGCAGCAGCCCCTGGTGGAAAACCTATGTGTGGCAGAAGTGCTGCAGCTGCTGACACCGAGGTTGAGGGCGAGCGATCCCAGCGCTGTGGACTCCACCGCCGTCCTCCTACACAAGCTTCTTGCCTCAGAATCTTCGCCCCTTACCTCTTGCAAACACTCATTCGGCTGGTCGCCTGCTGCGCCTCCTGCATCACAGGCTTACAGCCAAGGCAGCAGTGAGGTGTCCGATTGGGACACGTGAAGACTTGGATCCCAGACGGTGGGGAGGTGGGCGCTGAACTGAGGGGTTGGTAGGAAAATTGGCAGGAACATTGGAAAGAATGATGGGTTTGAGATGAGGGAAACTGGGAAGGGTAATTTGGGAGCAGATGGTGATGGTGAGGAATACTAGGATGATGTACAGAGGTGGCCAGAAAGGGAAATTTTGGTGCGAGCACCAGTGGTAAAATGTGGATAGCCAGGAATAGATATGAAGGAGAAATGAGCACCAGGTGGCCTGCATGGGTATGGACAGGAATAATGAATGAACAGTAGGTGGCTAAGGAGAGGAGACATGGGGACTGCTTGTACTAAAATGGAGAGATGAAGTTAGGGCTAGAAATGGTGAATGTGTTTGGGGGGCTAGAATGGGGACAGAGGATCAGGAGATATTCAAAAGATCCCGTCTGGGGTCTCAGCAACCAGGACCACCACAGCAACCTGCTTAGTTTTCTTGTGCAGCCAAATAAGCCTGGAATGAGGGCAGGCATCCTAGGGTGTAGTGATACCTAATATTGCTACAGGACACATATGAATAGCTTGTGCAGCAATATACCTTGTGTGTAAGGACTTGGCAATACAGAGAAAAAACCCTCACTTTATATTACATAGAATGTCTCTCTCTAGCTTCTTTCCTCCCATTGCAGGAATGAAAATGCACCACAAAAAGACAGCTGCAAGACAGCAAACCAGGGAGGCTCCAGGTCATCACACCAATTCTACAACCTTCAGGAAGAGAAAGGCCTCACAAAAGAAGCAGAGGAGGAGATCTTCACAGTCTCAGAGGAACATCGTGGGCTGCAGAATTTCTCATGGATGGAAGGAAAGTGATGAGCCCATCACCCAGTGGAAAGGAACTGTTTTGGATCAGGTGCCTATAAATCCCTCTCTTTATCTGGTGAAATATGATGGAATTGACTGTGTCTATGGACTGGAACTTCACAGAGATGAAAGGATTTTAAAGCTTAAAATCCTTCCTGATAAGGTGCCACTTTTTCAAGTCAGAGATGTGCACTTTGAAAATACTATAATTGGGAAAGCAGTGGAACACATGTTTGAGGGTGAGCATGGTTCTAAGGATGAATGGAGGGGGATGGTCCTAGCCCAAGCACCTATCATGAAAACCTGGTTTTATATTACCTATGAGAAAGATCCTGTCCTGTACATGTACCAGCTTCTAGATGATTATAAAGAAGGTGACCTCCGTATCATGCCAGAGTCCAGTGAGTCTTCTCCAACAGAGAGGGAGCCAGAAGGAGTTATAGATGGCCTGATAGGTAAACATGTGGAATATACCAAAGAAGATGGCTCCAAAAGGTCAGGCAAAGTCATTCTTCAAGTTAAAGCCAAACCTTCTGTGTATTTCATCAAGTTTGATGATGATTTCCACATCTATGTCTATGATTTGGTCAAAAAGTCCTACTAGGGTAAAATCTGCCAAGTGTGGGGAGGCAAATGTATAATTTATATATATGCAAAAAGTGTAAACTTTTCAAGGTATTGGAAGCCTAAGGGTCCTTGATAACCTACATCTTTGCCAGCATAATTATTGTTTTATTCTTAAAAATACAAATTTATGTGGACAGGACATGCTGTATGTAAGCATTTTGTCTTGTAAAGATTGGGTGTGTTTGGTGGACGAAGCATGTAAGGAAAAGTTGTAAACTCAGACTGTAAATAAAGTTCACCTAGTATCATAATCAGTTGTCTGAAACTGGAATGGCACTTAGCTGGTCTGGGTCTAAGGAGGGAAAGGAAAAAATAGGAGATAGGCTGTTGGGGAAGGGCAAGGAGGAGGTGACTGCTTGGTAAGTGATAAAGAAAGTCCCCAAAGTGGGAGGCTTTATGGAGAAGGGAAACATTAAGTTGAGAAGGTAGTGAAGAATAAGAGTAAGATCTTGGGGATTAGAGAAAAATAGTATGAATAGAAGATGGGCACAAGCTTAGAAAATGTCCAGTCAGGAGGAAAAGGATCAAGCTGGTAGATGGAGATGAGGGGGATGCTAAAGAACATACAAAGGGATGGTTTGTGTATGTATAGGTGGCCAGAAAGGGAGAGGTACAGCAGAAAGAGGAATTCCAGAAAGAAAGACTGACTAAAGGAGTGAAAACACAGGAGAAAAAGAACTTATGGGGAGTGGGGCTCATAAGGGACAGGAAGATCCAGGAAAAAGTTGGACTCCTAGCAGTATCCACATTGCCTTCTTTGACTCTTTATACAAAGGAAATAGCAACTTTCAAGGCAAATATATTAGAGGCTCCCCAGAAGGGCATTTGATCAAGATGACTCAGACTAGTTAATCTGGAGCCAAGTCTTTACCTACAAGACTTTTCTTCTTTCAGTGAGTTTGTGCAACACCTGCCAAGCAGAACCTTGGTCATCAGACTAAATATACTAACATAACTCTTGGCTATGGGATGCCTCTTTGTGTATTTCCCAGAGGATCTAGATATGGTAAATCTAGGACCTGAAGGTCATGATTCATTTCCCTTACACTGGATAACCAATAATTGTGGAAAAGAATGGTGTTCTCAGAACTTTAGAGATGCCATCTTGAGTTTGGAATATATTTTATCTGGAAGAATGGAATATTGCTGAATCCTTGTGTAGCAGTCCCATCACTGTTCTTCCTTCATTTGAAATGTTCCTTGTCTTCCTAGAGAGGACAGGATTCAGAGTATTAAGCCTAATATTTCTTCATGGCATGGAACTGTCCGTGATTCTTTCAGCAGCTTCCTACTGCCACAAATGGCTCTACTCAGTGCTTCAAGTAAAGGAGAACCTCTACCTTCTGGAGTCTTATTCTGACTAGATCCACACAAACACAAAACCAGTGACTACTGATCCCGTCACTGATATTTCTTTACCAATCTTGATCCTTTTAAGCTTGCATGGAGCCGTGGTAGAATATTGTGTAGCTTTTTGTTTCTAAGTGATATAGGTGTCATGGACATTCAATATGGGCGTTGTGACTTAGTATAACTAATTCCTTTGGTTTTATAATGCCACATGGAGTGGTTATGGTTGGTGAAAAAGTAAAGTCCCTCAGAATTATGGTGTCTACTGTACTGACTTGTGTCCTTCTCTTCCTCTTTGTCTTGTCTTTTCCCATTTTCCTGAAGTTTCTCTCAAAATCCTTTCTCTGCTTTTCACATCTACACCCTTCACTAAATTATACTATCAGCCAGCTGTCATGTTTTGTCTGCTATGTGTTTTTATTATTTTCTATTTTAAATTATGTACTTTAGACATTTGGGAGAGTTCCCAAAATGTAAATCATTTCTGGATTCTGAAAGCCAAATGAAAGAAACAAATGATGGGGGTCCACATTTTAACAAGAATGCTGGGTCTGTGGCAGACCTCAGCTCATTTTAGTCTCAGAATAGCCTCTTCAGCTTACCACGTCCCCAACTGGCCTACCTCATTCTAATAAGACGCACACTTGTACAGTGGAAGTGTATTTGTAACTTTAGGGCTGGACCTAGGAAAATCTGCTCCTGTTTTTCTTGCTTTGACCCCATTAATTTCTTAATTCATTTGTTTTATTTTTATCCCAGAAATGCTTATTTCAGGGTGGGCTCTCTGCTAGGCATTCTTCTAGGCATACGTATGTACAATACAGTAATAAACAAAGGAAACATAAAAAGATCTTACTTTCCTGGAACTTTCATTTTAGCATGGGAAACAAGCAGTAGCCAAGATAAATAAGCAAATACAAAGGGATTTCATAGTGACATTTCTATGAAGAAAAGAAAGTCAAGGAATGGGGAAATGAATTTTTAGTGAGAAGACTGTAATTAGAGAGAGAGGGTGGCCAGGGAAGAGCCTCACTTAGAACTTGAGTTTTGAGTAAAGTCCTGAAGGTAATTTGAAAACTGGTCCTGTAGCTGTCCCTCCAGGTAGAGGAAGAGCAAATGCTGAGAACTCAAAGCAGGAGAACCCTGGAGTAGTTGAGGAGGAGCAGATAGGATAGCATCATGGATGGAACTGAGTGAGCAACGTAGAGATTAGCAGGAGGTGATCTCAGAAAGGTCATTGGGATAGGGAGTCAGATAGCTTAGAGTCATTTAGTTTGGAATATGTTGAACAGAATTTGTTTTTTGCATTGAATGAACATTTAGATATTTATAACAGAGGTGTGACATAGTTTTCTTCATATTTTACCAAGATCAAACTGGCAACTCCAGAGGATAGTCTAAGGATTGTGAATTAATTCAGGAAAATCAAATATGTTAATGGAACATAGAAGTGATCTCAAAAACACACTTCCACGTAGGAAACTTGAATTATAATAGAGGTGGCATTTCAAATTATTGATGAAAAAATATTTTGCTCAATAGTGGTGCTAGATTAATTTGTCATACATGTGTCAAGAAAGAAAATTAATACCTTTATACTTTATGCACACAATGAGTTTCAAATGGATAATGTTATTACCCAAATAATAAAAGCAATATGTATAAAACATTTAGAAGAAAATGTAAGAGAATATTTAATTTTGGAGTCAGGCAGTGGGGAAGACTTAAAAGCACAAAATGTATATATCATGAAGGAAATTTTTTGATAAATATGATTATAATAAAAGGGAGAACTTCTTAATTACGAAAGTCACCAGAAACAAAGCAGGGAAAAACAATATTTGGCTACAAACTTTGATAGACACACTGAATGAAACAATAAGACCAACTGTTCAGAAAACTGGACAAAAATTGTGAATAGTCATTTTAGAAAATAGCAGCCATATGGTCAATTAATATAGACTGCTTTAATCTGCCTCCTGTCACATTATTCTATCTTTTCCACAGCATACATCATCTTCTAATGAATTATATAATTCATTTAATTAATATGCTTACTATTTCTCCTACTAGAATATAAGGCACTGAAAATGCATGGTTTTTCTCGCTTTATATTTACCAATGTATCCCAACTACTTAAGAAGAGTTCCTGAAGTACAGTAGGTGCTCAATTAATATTTTTTGAATATGAATCTTATCAAGAATCAGGAAAATGAAAGATACAGTTACGTAATTTCCTAGACAGTGGATCAGCAACATGCATAATATTTGAAAATATATATCGATCAGTTAAACAAATAGAAGAGATCCTGTGTACTCTTAGAAGTTGAAGCTGGAGAGGAATTTGCCATTATCTAGTATATTTGAAGATGATCTATTATCAGCAACCTTTTTCACATATTGTTGGAAAGACATTCTACACTCAAGAAAACAGTAAAAAAGATTAAAAATAAGAGAAAATAAAATAAAGGGAAGACATGTTTATTGCAAATTTAAGACTGAGGCTACTAAAACTCAGGTTTCCTTTCCTGCAATATATGTGAATGTGTATGTTGTTGTCGTGTGACCATTATGCATCACACTATGTGAAGCAGGGTCTAGGAATCTTAGGTAAAAATGCTAATATTCAGTCTGTTGCTATTGCTATAATTAATAAGATGTTCTTTGTATATGAACAAAGATTTTTTTTACTTCAGCTAGTACCTGAAAAAACTGATAGTTTTACTTTATTAGCTTGTGAATAGGATAAAATACTTTTTAATTTTTCTTTTTAGTTATATGTGACAGTAGAGTTTATTCAGATATATTTATACACACATGGAGTATATCTGATTCTAATTAGAATTCCAGTCTTGTGTGTGTACATGCTATTGAGATTCACTAAGGTGTATTCATATATGAACATACAAAAGTTTCACCAGATTCATTCCAGTGTCTTTTCTGTTCCTATTCCCTTTCCCTTCCCTTTATTTTCTTTTGTCTAATCTATGAACTTCTATTCTCCACCTTTCTTGTTGTGTGTTAGCATCTACAAATCAGAGAACATTTGACCTTTGGTTTTTTGGGGATTGGCTTATTTCACTTGGCATGACAATCTCCAGATTCATCCATTTCCTGGAATATGTCACAAAGGCATTCTTTTTTGTGGCTGAGTAATATTCCATTGTGTATATAAACTATATTTTCCTTATCTATTTATCTGTTGATGGGCACCTAGGTTAGTTCCATAGCTTAACTTTTGTTAATTCTGCTGTTAGATGTGGCTGTGTCACTGTAGTATGCTGATTTTAAGTCCTTTGGGTATAAACCCAGGAGTGGGATAGCTGGGTGAAATGGTTGTTCCATTCCAAGTTTTCTGAGTAATCTCCATACTGCTTTCCATAGGTGGTCGCAGCAATTTGCAGTCCTACTAACAATGAGAGTACCTTTTTGCCCCACATCCTCACCAACATTTCTTGTTACTTTTATTCTTGGATAATTTCTATTCTAACTGGAGTGAGATTAAATCCCAGTGTAGTTTTAATTCATACTTCTCTAAATTGCTAGATATCATGAATATTTTTTATATTTGTTGACCATTCATATTTCTTCTTTTGAGAAGTATCTGTTTAGTTCCTTTGCCCATTTATTGATTTGGTCATTTGCTTTTTGGTTAAGTATTTTGAGTTCTTTGTGTATCCTGGAAATTAACACTCTCTCTGATGTGCAGGTGGTAAAGATTTTCTCCCATTCTGTAGGCTCTGTCTTCACATTCTTGTTTCCTTTGCTGTGAAGAAGATTTTTAGATTGGTGTGACCCCATTTATTGATTATTGATTTTACTTTTTGTTCTTTAGGGGTCTTGTTGAGATAGTTGGTTCCTAAGCTAGCATGGTGGAGTATTTGGCCTACATTTTCTTCTA